TGGGTATGTAACATGACACACAAGGTTAGGAACAATAAACTCTGGGTATGTAACATGACACACAAGGTTAGGAACAATAAACTCTGGGTATGTAACATGACACACAAGGTTAGAGACAATAAACTCTGGGTATGTAACATGACACACAAGGTTAGAGACAATAAACTCTGGATATGTAACGTTACACAGCAGGAAGCACATACCTTCAGCTGCGTCTCCAGAGGTGTGTTCGCCAAGAAGGGAGGTTGTCCAACAACCATCTCATACAAGATGACCCCAACGCTCCACCAATCACACAGCTGGGTGTATCCTGACACACAAAACACAGGTTACACTTGGAAACAACTTCACAATTATTGTTCAGAAAACAACTAAAAATATAAAACAAGTGGAGAAACCATGTCCTGCAGTTTGAAAGCTTACTGCTGAGCAGCACCCAAAGTTACCAAAAACTTCTGAAATTAGCTGAAAGGATAAAAAGCTTGAATTAGCAGAAAGATAAAGAAGCACACAGAAGTAAAAATTAGCAGAAAGCAGCAGAATGATAGCTGAAACAGCAGGAAAAAAGCTAAAAATAGAAAAAAGCTAAAGGTAGCAGAACAAAGTCAAACTGGACACACACACAGATGTGAAAGAAGTGTAAAAAAATGACTGAAAATTAACAGGATTACAAAAATAATGAAGCTAAAACATCTAGAAACTGTAGAATAACAGCTGCAGTTCAGCTGTTTTCTGCTAATTGTTTATGTTTTAGCTGTTTTACAGAATAGGAAAATGCTGAAATGACCATAATACTCAGTGTGTGAATGTGTGACTGTGTGACTGTGTGACTGTGTGAATGTGTGACTGTGTGAATGCGTGACTGTGTGACTGTGTGACTGTGTGAATGTGTGAATGTGTGACTGTGTGAATGCGTGACTGTGTGACTGTGTGAATGTGTGAATGTGTGACTGTGTGACTGTGTGAATGTGTGAATGTGTGACTGTGTGAATGCGTGACTGTGTGAATGTGTGAATGTGTGACTGTGTGAATGTGTGACTGTGTGAATGTGTGAATGTGTGACTGTGTGAATGTGTGACTGTGTGAATGTGTGACTGTGTGAATGTGTGAATGTGTGACTGTGTGACTGTGTGAATGTGTGAATGTGTGACTGTGTGACTGTGTGACTGTGTGAATGTGTGACTGTGTGAATGTGTGACTGTGTGAATGTGTGAATGTGTGACTGTGTGACTGTGTGACTGTGTGACTGTGTGACTGTGTGAATGTGTGACTGTGTGAATGTGTGACTGTGTGAATGTGTGACTGTGTGACTGTGTGACTGTGTGACTGTGTGAATGTGTGAATGTGTGACTGTGTGAATGTGTGACTGTGTGACTGTGTGACTGTGTGAATGTGTGACTGTGTGAATGTGTGACTGTGTGACTGTGTGACTGTGTGAATGTGTGACTGTGTGAATGTGTGACTGTGTGAATGTGTGACTGTGTGAATGTGTGACTGTGTGAATGTGTGACTGTGTGAATGTGTG